AAGTCCTCAACATTATTAGCCATTGAGGAAACGCGAGTCAAAACCAGGGAGAGGCACCAGGATGGCTAGAATCGAAAAGACAGATAATAGCAAGTGTTGGTGGGGTTGCACCATGTTGCCTGGGCTCTGGAAGACAGTTTGAGAGTTCTCCGAGAGGCTAAACAAAGAGATACCACCTGACCACGCAAATACACCCATAGGTGTGTTCCCCAGAGACAGGACAACCCAAGCTCACGCAAAACCCTGCTTGGGAACATTCACAGCAGCGTTGCTGGTCGTGTCACAAAGGTGGGGACGACCCCAACGCTCATTTGCTGATAAATGGACGATGTGGTCTCTCTATGCAAAGAGATCTTATCAGACCATTTCAAGGAGCGAAATTGTGATATGCATGACATTTAGGACTCACGAAAACTGTAATGTTAAGTGAGATCAGCCAGTCACAGAGGGCCGCACATTGTACGATTCCACTGATGTGAAATTTCCAGAGTAGTGAAATCCACAGAGACAGACAAGAAATCAGTGGTTGCCTAGGGTTGGGGGTGGGTGGCGGGGAGTAGGGAGTAACTGCTAATGGGCACGGGGTGGGGGTTCCTTTTGGGCTGAAATGTTCTGAAGCTGGATGGTAGTGACGGTTTTACAACTCTGGTAGACTCAAACCCATCGAATTGTACACTTTAGATGGGTGAACTGTATGATGTGTAAGTTACACCCCGATAACGGTGTGGGACAGAGGAATCTGACCTGGAGCTCGGGGACCCCTTAGGCAAGTCTTGTCCACCTCTTGACGTTCAGTCTTCTCTGTAAAATGGGGCAGGATGATCTGCCTGCCTTGTTACTGTGGGGACCGGATCAGGTGACAGACAGGAACCCATTTCTCAGTTTAATGTTTCATTTGAAGTTTCATTTGAAGATTTCATTTTGTATTTACATTTATTGCGAACGGAAATGTACGCGCATTGTACAAGATTCAAACGGGGACACGGTGGAAAGTCAGCTTCGTTTTCTGGGGTGATGGAAATGTTCAATATCTCCATAGGGGTGGTGATTACACAGATGTGAACATTTGCCAAGACTTATAGAACTGAGCCCATAAGAACTGTGGATTTCACTGTCTGTCAATAAATAACACATTAAAAAATATTTTTAAGTAAACCTCTTCCCTCTCTCTACTCTGTGTCTCCCAGCACCCTCCCACCTTCCAATTTCCCACAGGATGCATGGTTGTTGTTTCTTTGCACACACAAGAAGAGAAAATTTTTTTATATCCCTTTTGTACACAATGTCAAAAAAAAAAGTACTACATACACTGATCTACCCTTGTTTTTTCCCCCTAAAAACATACCCGGAGATAAACTCAAACACTGGGTTGGGAGCGGGGAGGGGAGGGAGGCTCACAGTGCTGCTGAGGCACCCGTATGGCTGTGCTGGGATACGGCTAAGTGCCTCTGTGGTCAGCAGGCATTTTGGATCTTTCCAATCTGCTGTTATTATGAAGAGTGTTTCAGTGAGTAACCTTGCGCATAGGATTCTGTCATTTTTCACAATTGTGAGCAGTATCTGGAGGATAGATTCCTAGAAGGAAATGCTGGGCCAGAGGGTATGTGTATTTGGAATTTTGACATAATTTCGGAGGTTCCAAGAGTGTCTGCTTCCCTGCACTATGGCAACGGGGTGAGTTATTAAACTTTTTAGTCTGCCCATGTGACAAGCGAAAAATCTCTCAGAGTAGTTTCAATTTGCATTTCTGCTGTCACGTGTGAGACTGGGCCCTTTTTGGTACATTTCAGCATTCTCTTCATTTCCTTTTCTGTTCATAACCTCTGACCAGTTTTTCCCCCCTTGGGTATTTTTCTTATTGATTTGTAAAAGCTCTTTATATATGGAGACATGGGCTCTTTGCTTGGGACATAAGTGGCCGTATTGTTTCTTTTGTAGGTTCTATGGATGTTTGTTGTGACTGTAAAACTCTGGGCACAGGAAAAGATTGTCACTATTTTTCTCTGAGTACCATTTTTTTAGGATAGGTGTGGCAAGGGTTCTGGTCCACATGAGTCCCAGACCCTTGCGTCCCCGCCCCATGTCCATGCACACCCTTGGGTGACTGATTGACCTCTTTTATTCTGAAAGCATGCTTGGTCATCCCCTCTGTGCTGGTCCAGCGTGTGGCACGTCAAGTCCTAGGTGAGTCAGGCTCTCCTGCTCCCTGAGCTAACTCACAGTCTGGTGGGAGGTCCTGAGTGGCCAGTCCTTGGCTAGGGAGTGCCAGGGCAACTGGGGGCACAGGCACAGATGGAAGGTGGCAGCTCCAGAGCTCCAGGGCCTCCCTTGCTCAGCTTGCCTCTCCCTAAATGGCATGGGCAGGGTGGGTTGGTTTGAATACAATCAAGAATCTTGCCGTGCTAGTTCCTTCTGAGTGTTGGTCTCCCTGGCAAATGGGACCTGATAAAGGAGCTCACTTGTAGGGTGTCTGTGGGGCGGAACTGAGTTGAAGGGAGCAGCACGCATGTGCCTGACACATGGGGCTGAAACTTACAATTCCCCACGGGCCTGCCAGCCCGTGTGAGGGCGAGGTGTTTGGTTTGGGGGGACACAGAGCTGGGTGCCCCTACGAATGGCAGCAGCAGCGGCAGGTGAAAGCCGGGCTGTGAGGGTGGGAGGGGGCGCTGGGGTGTTCCCCACCTGGGCAGTCCTCCTATCTCCAAGGGGCTGGGGTGGGAGGGCCTGGCAGGGTGAGATTAGGGCTGTGTGGAGATGTGCAGAGTGTGGGTGTGCGGTGTGTGTCTACAACAGAGGCTGTGTGGGGGCATTCAGGAGGAGAGGAGTGTCTGAGAGAGAAGACTGAGATCTTGCCTCACAACAGACACACAGAGGGTGGGGGGGGGGGGGCTGTGGGGGGGGCTCCAGCTTTATTATGCCCAGAGAAGGATTCCCTCCATTCTAATCCCTGGGATCCCCTCTTCCCAGCTTGAGGGCTGTCTTGCCTTTTGGGGGGCAGCAACCCAACTCTGCCCTCCCCGAGAAAACAAGGGCATATTTCAATACCTCAAGGAGCTGGAGAGGGAGTCAGGGGGTGAACGCAGGAAAGGCCCAAATGTCTGGCGGGAGGAGGGCTCCTGGGGAACCAGGTCAGGACTTTCAAGGCCCTGGCTCACTGGGGACAAAGGACTTGGGGAAAGGGGCTGCATGCCGGCCAGGGCTACAAAGGAGCAGTGCACCTCCATTAGGGACCTAGGTAAAAGAGACCCCGAGGCCAGCCTCTGTCTCCACGCCCGTTCCCAGGAGGTCTGAGCGCCCCTGCGCCTAGACTCAAGGACAACACAGCTCCAGACAGTGGCTTCGTCCTTGACCATCAGCCTCTGGTCCAAGAGTCCAAGGGAAAGGTGGTGGCTTCTCCCCCACGCTCCCGACTATCCCCCTTTAGGGTATCGCCTGCAGGAACTTGACGAGGCAGGGATGGGTGGGGGGGGGGTGGTGGGATAGGAGGAGCACCGAGGGTGGGCGGCGGGCGCAGCAGGCTGGATGGATTTTATGGGCTGCGGAGAGGCCGCTAGACCGGACCCGGACCAGAGCCCCGCGCCGATCCTCGGCGGACAGCCTTGGGCCCCGCTGCTCGAAGCCTCACGCGTCGCTCCCACCCCGCCCAGGGCCTCCTCTTGGGGTGGGGGAAAGGGCACCCCAGGGAAAATCCCCTCGCCCTCCAACGGACCCCTCCCCTTTGCCGCGCGCGCTCTCCCAGGCGCGCAGCCCGGCCCCGGCGCCTCTCTCCCTTCGCCCGCCGGGGCAGGAACGCGCAGCAGGTGCGCAGCGCCGGGGGCGGGGTCCGGGGGTCGTGCCCCGCGCGCGCTGGGGTACCCACTCCGCAGCTCCAATGCCCCAGCTCGGGAAGCGGCGCGCAGGCCGTGCCGGGCGGGGGCGCTCTTGAGCCTGGTTTGGAATTTTTACCCACCGTGCAAGCGGCAAGCTAGGGCAGGGGTGGTGGGCAGTGGCAGCCCCGGGCGGGCGGTGTGGCCGCTGGGTGAGGGCTCGGGGCATCTAGGGGGCTGCGGATTTAGAACCCAGTTTAGAGGCCAGCCGAGTGATTTCGGATCCCCGGGTATTCCGGAGGCGAATGAAGGGGAAGGGGGGATCGGTGGGAGGGAAGTCCGCCAAACGGAACCTTCCGGGAATCGGAAGGGGCCTGGGTGATCCCGCGCCCCCACCTTCTCCCCAGCTGAAGGTGGGGGTGAGCAATGGGAGCGCTGGGGTGGAGATCAACTATCTGGGAGAGGGCACGTCCCTGAGAGCCCGACCACCCTCTCGCCCCCGCCCCCCCACGTGCCTAGCCCTCCTCGTCCCCGGATACGCGCGCCCCTGCGTGCTGTGCATTTGCACTCGCGGACGCGCGCGCCCACACAGGGTCTGACTTCAGGTCAACTTTCACGCGGCTCCCGGGTGTGTGTGCACACGGCCGGGTCCGCACGCGCGTGCACACCCTCCTTCCCCGGTGCCCACCTCCCGTCGCCTCCCAAAGTCTCGACTCCGAGACCTTGGGGGCTTCAGCTCCAAACGGTGGCCTGGGGCGGGGGGCGGGGGCGCGCGGGGCGGGCCAGGAGGAGGGGGCGAGGCAGCCTCTGGGCTCCGCACGCCGCCCCCACGGCGCGATCCAACTTCCCCTCCCGAGGCCCCCTCGGGACACCCCCAGTCCGCCGACGTGCGGGAGCCACACAGCCGCCCGCCCTCCGGCCGCCCCCGCCCGCGTCCCCCGCCCCTCCTCCAGCCCTCCCCGCTCCGGCTCCTACAGGAAACCTTCGATCACGCTCAGAAAGAATGTGCTACAATCTCGGCGCTGCCGCGGCCGATACCGCGCCCGCGCCCGCGCCGGAGCCGAAGCCGGAGCCGAAGCCGAAGCCGGAGCCGCCGCCGCCCCGCCTGCCGGGCCGGCCCCGGGCTCGCAGCGCGCGGTCCCAGCCGCCGCCGCCGCCCCGCGCTCGCCCCGCGCTTGACGCAGTGAGCGCCGCAGCCCGGCTCCCGCCGGCTCCGCTCCGCTCCCGGTCGCAGGCCGAGCCCAGCCCGGCGGGCTCCGGGAGGGGCGGGCAGGGCGCGAGGGGGAGGAGATCTGTCTGGAGCCAGCGAGCCCGGCGGAGGAAGAGGAGGAGGAAGGAGGGGAAGCCGCCGCCGCCGCCGCGCTCCGGGGATCTGGGCGCGCGCGCTCTGCTCGCCGGCGACGGTGGCGCCAGCCCCCGGCCCGCACCCGGGCCCAGGTATGAGGGGGACGGTGGGGGAAGGGGCTGCGCGGGGCTGCAGGGGCGGGGGTCCCCTCTGCCGCAGCAGAGGGGCTGGTGGGTCCCCGCCCCTGGGGGAGGCGGGGAAGATGCTCTCCCGGGCGTCAGTGGGGGCGGGCGCGGGGTCCCCGGCGGCTCTTGCGGCCCGGGCCGCTCCAGCCCCCGCGCCCTGTCCTGGGCGTCCGCGCCGGGGCCGAGTCCCCCCGCTCGTGTGGCTTCTGTTGCGGCGCGTTGGGTCCGCGGTTTCGGGGCACCCCCCCAACACACACACCCTGGGTTCCGAGGCGGGCGCACCCGAAGTTAGCGGTCGCCGAGCGCCGGCCGGTCAAACTTCCCTTCCCGACGCCGTGGCCCGAAGGCCCGGGACGCCGGACCCCTCGGGCCAGGAGGCGCCTCGGGGACCCCAAAACTTTCCTGAGCGCTGTGAGAGCGAAGGACGGGCTGGGCAGGGAGTGGGACAGGGTGGTCTTGCCTGTGAGTGCGTATTGGTAGCCGCGGTGCCCCAAGTTGGCCCCGGGACTGCCCCCCCAACCTAGAACCCCATCTCTTAGCGGAGAGCGGGGAGGGAGCAGACCAAAGGCGCCTAGCCTTCGCGCAGCCAGGATGGGGGAAGCAGCGCTCCGCCCCGCGCTTCTGGAGCCCTTGGAGGGGTGTTGCAGGACACCCCCGCCCCCCGTTCGCCCTGCTCTGCCCGCAGCTGCCGAGCCCGCGGAAAGGACCGGGTTCGCAGCTATTAATAGGAGCCTGTGACCCGAACCTTTCCAGGCCCTGAAAGCTGCGAAGCTGGCTTGGCTGCGGGGTGGGGCGGGACCCCAGGCCCTGGAACTGGCTCCTTTCCCGGCTCTCATCGTCTCTGTCCTGTCGCTCTTCCCTCCACGCCCCCTCCTCCCTGCTCTACTCCCGGCCTGTCCATCCCGGTCTCAGGGTGTCGCCCCCCCAACTTTTTCTCTTCCCAAACTGCACGGTGTGGCCTGTGGCCGCCCAGTCAGTCGGGGGCCCGAGCCAGATTGGCGCGATCCGAGCACAGTCCCCAACAGAGTCCTCCTCCGCCGGATGGGTGTGGGGTTCCTGGGGCCAGATTGCCAGGGATGAGCGGGGATTTCCTCCCATCAGCGCCTCTTCTCCCAGCCTACACAGTGAGCCACGACACCTTCGCACACCCCGCCACCCTGCAGGCCGGTTGCCGCCCCATTTGAGGGGCAGTGGGGAGTGGGGTGGTCGCCGCCGGCAGCCTTGGGGAAATGTGGAGGGCATAGGGACTCGCGAAGCTCCGGAGAGGGTTTGGGGGTGTGGAGGCAGTGTCCTGGGGGCCTCTCTTTCAGCGTCTCTTCCGCGCACCCCCGAAGGCCCAGGAGGATTCCGTCTCCTGCCGCCACCCCATCCCAACACTCAGATCCGAGCTTGAGTGGATTTGAGGATTTGGGGGGTGGGGAAAATGGAATACTTCTTCCCGTCTACGTATCTGCAGAGCTTAGCTCCCAAGCAGCTTGGGGGTCTTTGTCCCCCGGGGCTGGCTACCGGCCCCGCCCCCTCCATTAACTCTGGGACCCCCAACGCCTTCCAGCGCTCTCGTGCCTCTCTCGGCAATCTCAGCTTTGGTGAGCGAGGTGTCGCATCCTTTCCCCTCCTCTAGGTCTGGGGGTGGGGTAGGGGGCGTGGATCGCAGTCCTGGGTCCCTGACAGATGTCCTCGCGGCGGCGCCGGCGTCTCTGTAACAGATTTAATGACTTACACCGCAGACCGCCAATCGGCATGGCCACGGGGGAGGGGCGACCCAGATGAGACTCAGGGGACGAGGTCACAGCCGGAGTCGCAGCCTCTGCTCAGGGTGGGGGGTGCAGTGGCAAGGACCCTGACCCTAGCCATTGGGCCTCACCTCCAAACCTCTGCGCCTCCCCACCAATTCTAGGATCCTGCGGTTGAGGGACCTTCCAGCGAGGACTTCAGTCCCGTCCCCCTCTTTGCCCCCCCCACTGACCTCTGAGTCCCTCTGCGGAGCCCCGACACTGGGCGCACATATACTTGCCTCGGGGATGGCCAGTGTGGGTCAAGGGCGGGCTGAGGCCTCTGGCCTCTGCTTGCAGGCTGCAGAAATGGGATCATAGCCCTTGCTACAGCGGAGTAGTGAGAAGGTCCTGATGTCAAGTCTGGGCAGGAGCCTAGCACAGTCCTTGGCACACTGGAGACGTGCATCAAAAAGCCTGCCTATCCTTCTGGAACCAGAGCCGCTTGGCCAGCGTGGGTCTGGAGGAATCAGTCAGAAAGGGAGGGGTCGGTCACCACTGGTAGGGGTTTGCCTCAGAAAGGCTGCACGGGGATCTCCGTTCATTGCTGTGCGTTTTCTGGGTAGAGTGAGGCCAGAGGCTAGAAGGTTGCTTTCTGAGACCTACGAAGAGGGACCAGGGTTGCCTCTGGGGGATGATGAGTTTTGCCCCATTCCAAGTGGCAGCTGGATAGACCTTGTGAACAGCAGGGAGGAGAGGGGAGACTTGTCACCACCCTCTCTGTCCCCTGTGCTCAGGCCTGGCATATCTGAGGCTTCCAGCACCTATTTGGTGATAAATGGGGGGCTGCCCTTGGCCTGCAGCTGCTGGGACAGGAGTGTGGGTAGGGGGCAGCCCAAGGAGAAAGGCTACATACAGCTCAGATGCCCCAAATGGCCCCTTAGCCTTCTTCCCCATGCTTCAGCCCTGACCCTGGAGCCATATGTGAGTGGGGTACACTGACCTCCCCCATGAGGGGCACCAACTAACACCCCCTTTATGCATCTACCCTCAACGGAGCTCCAGCAGACAGGCAGGAGGGGGCTACAAAGCACAAATTCTGGCCTGGCAGGGGGTGGCCAGCTCAGAACCTGCTCCCCACTTCCTGGTCAGCCTTCTGTGCCTGGGCAGGGCTGGGGGGGCGGTGACTCGCCAGTCCATATAGGACATGCTTGTGCTGTGGACGTTCATTCATATTCCCTCTTCTGTCCCCCACACACTATAGGATTTATCTTGATTTGCTGCCTTTGAATTGAGTCAACTCTTTTGTATGCTCGGTGAATTGCCCAGCTGCTGGCGGGGAGCGGAGAGCGTGCCGGGGGTACTGAGGCCGGGAATCATAGGCGGGCGGGGACAGGAAGCGGGGAGGGGGCGCTGCCCCGGAGGGGACTGGAGCGGGCTAGCGGGCCCTGAGCCGGGAACCTGGCTGGCCGAGGGGCATGCCCAGGCCTGCCCGGCTGGAGCCAGGAGTCCGGAGGGGTCGGGAGGCTCTGTCCTGGGGGCCGACGCTGCCCCTCGGCCTCTGCTTTGGATGGGCTCTGTGGCGTGGGGCAAACGTCGGGGTCCCTCTTGACTCCGTTTTCTCGCCTGTAATATGCGGGAAGAGGGGCTTCCACACGCAGGTTGTGAGGGTCAAACTGAACGGGAAGAGTGTGCGAGAACCCCCGGAGTCATCCCAGAGGTGGGGGTGAGAGAAGGAAGGGGAGCCAGGGCTGGGGAGAGGGGCGGCCCTACCTGTCTCCCCCTCCTATCGCGTTCTCTGCGCCCAGGTCTTTCCCGACGAGGGCCGGACCCACGGGCCCACCCGGGGCCTGCGAACGCCCTGGCTTGGCTTCATGTGGTGGGGGTCGTGGGTGGCTCAGGCCGTCACTAGCAGTCGCGCGCTCCGCCACCCGCGCGCCGCCCTCCGCCCCCACCTGGATGGGGGAGGAAGGGCAGGAGGGGACCGCGAGGAAACCAGCCCTCCTGCGCTTTCTAGTACCCCCTTACCCGGCCTGCACCACCCCCCCCCCCGCACCCTGCCCCCCGCCCGGCGGCCGGTAGGGAGGGGAACCCGGCGGGCGCGGGCTCGGAGACTGACTCGCGCGGGGAGCGGGCGGGCGGGCTCGGGAGGGGCGGGGGGAGGCGCGGGGCGGGGCGGGGCCGCGCGCGGATCGATGGGCGAAGCTGGGGAGGAATCTCAATCCCCCGAGCGAAGTTAGAGCCTGGAGGACGGCGGCGGCAGGCGCAGCCGGGGAGCGCGGCCCGGCGGCAGGTAAGCGCGGCGCCCGGAGCCCGAGGCGAGCGCGGCGGGCGCCCAGCCCGGGACGCGGGACCCCGCTGGAGCCCGCGCGCTCCCCCTCGCCCCCGGCCCCGTGCGCCCTCGCAGCGTGGCGGGCAAAGTTGGAGGAACTTGGGGCGGGCGCGCGGCTCAGCCGGCGGAGCGGGGGTCCGGGTTGGGGTCTTGCTTGCCACCCCCCCCCCCCCCCCCCCCCCCCGCCCCGCGCCCCGCCCTCCCCCCCCCCCCCCCCCCCCCCCGCCCCGGTCGCTGCTTCCCGTCGCTGCTTCCCGTCGCACCACAGCTTGCTCGCGTGGCCTTGCTCCTTCCTCGGTCTTCTCTTGGCTGCACCCTTGGCCGTCCGCGGCGGGTCGTGTGCCCCAGAGCTGCTGCTGTTCCCAGCGGCCCACACTCCGCGGCCTTGGGTCCGTGACCCCGGTGGGTGTCCGCGGCGCCATCCCCGCCGGATCTGCCTTCCAGGCGTCTCGCTTCTCCCCACCCGGCGGCGGGACGGTCCGGGAGCACTCGGGGTAGGGGCTGCGTTCCGCGGTACCCCCCGGGGGAGTTGAAGCCCCGGGGTCGGGGTCTTTGCCTCTGAACTTGGTGAATCTTCTCCACCCCTCCCCCGACCTTGTACCCGTTCTTATTGTCATGGCTTTTGGGGGAGTGCGGCTGAGCCTTCTTGCCCCAGTCTGCTTCTAAAGACAGGCATCTGCTTTTCATCCTTTAAAATCCTCGAATCACCTGCTTGAGGGCCTCTGGCATCAAAATCAGACTCTTCAAGCATCACCTGCGTGACTTTGGAGGCACATGACTTTGGAGCCTCAGTTATCACATCTGGAAAATGGGGGTAGGATGATAATGTGTAATTTATGGAGGAAACACCATGATGAAGGCTTAGCACTGGGAGGGTCCCCGGAGTCCTTTCCTCCAGGCTTGGGAGACCAACCCAGGTTTGC